CGCGGTCATACGAGTCTCACGAGAGCGCTGTCGACGCGTCGAACCGCGCGAGAGACATCATTGCGCCGAGTTCAGGATCGCTGCACGATGCACTCGTGTTGACCAAGTTATTGAAGGGGGTGCGCGCCCGACTGCGTCCGTCCGGGGAGGGGAGGCAGGCCCACTGAGGGACCCCCGCGGAGGGAACCAGACCGAGCAGGCGCGGGGCGGTAGCTCCTGCGTGGGCTCCAGGGGCCACTCAAGGTCGGTCTCTCCGTGGACCGGGGGAGGTTGAGAAGGACCACCACCACCGTGCACGGGGACAGGAACTCCGGCTCGACCAGGCCGATTCAACCTCAGGACCACGAATGGCTAGCCGAGGGCACCGCCGAAGAGGATGCTCGTGGTCAGCGAGCGGGAGAAACAAAAGGAAGCGTCCAGATCGAAGAACCGCGGCCCGCGGCCGCGTCGATGTAGAAGAGGAGGACGCCGCTGAGGAAGAGAGGAATATGAACAAAATCAGGTCGAGCGCCGCGGAGGAAGCGCCGCAATCTCGCTGGCGTGGGCGACGAAGAACTCGCCGAACGTCGACGCGAAGGCGCGAGCAAGATCGTCGCGCAGCTCCGCGAGGCCGCCGCGCGGGAGCGGCGGTGCGCCCGACGCGGCCAAAAAAGCGGCGAAGCCGACGTCGGAGCACGACGAGAGCGCCGGCGCCCGCGCGCCGCGCCACCAGCGCGCCGCCGCCTCGCGGCCCTGGCGGCCGTAGGCGTTCTCGACGCTCGCGAACCACGCGCGTCGGGGAGCATCCAGGCCGAGCCGCGTCACGCGCGACGCCGGGCACTCGAGGCAGACGTGGGCCATGTCCGCGGCCGTCCCGCGGACGTAGAGCCCGCAGAGGTCGCAGTAGCCCGGCCGCTCGCGGCCCCGGGCCGCCCACCGGACGAGCCGCGTCTGCGGCGCGAGGCGGCACGTCCCGCCCAAGATGGCGACGAGCGCGGTCTCCCGCCGGTCGCCCGCCGCGCGCTGCTCCAGGATCCAGGTCCGCCGCCACTCGCGGCTCGGGCGGACGGCGCGGAAGAGCGCGAGGTCGCTGACGCCCGCGGCCTGCCGCTCCGCGTACTCGCGGGCGGCGCGACCGACCGCGGCGCGCCACTGGCCGCGGTCGTCGCCCGCGCTCGGTGGCTGGAGCCCGAGGGTCTGGCACGCGTCGAGCGCGGCCGCGACGCAGGAGAACGCGGCCGCCGCAGGCGCCGCCCGGACCGCGGCGTCG